TTTGTGCTATAACGTAATTTTTTCTTGGCTTTTATCAATTTGATCATCCACATCGATAGAAAGTATTCCGAAATGAGGTAAAACAGGTCTTGTTTCAAACTGGGTGAGAATAGCCTATGGTCGCAAGTCTCACCCGGGGTGAGAGGTAGATCGTTTTTTCTATTCTCACCCCGGATGAGAATAGCCACTTCCTTGTAGAATTCTGTGCCGTGAACAAACGTTCCATTACTACTGTTAGCCTACTAAAAACGTACAATTTTGTCTGTGGGCAGTGGAGAGAGAGAGAGAAAGAGAGAGAGAGAGAGGAGTAGCGCGAGAACTTCTGGGCAAAACAAAATGGCGACCCGCGTAGTTCTGCTCAATTCGAAAAGTTAAATAGCTGTAGCATCTCTTGTAGACGACCAAATTAATTTACTTTTGTGTTTTAACATCATTTTTTAACTTTGTTTTGGTCAATTTGATCGTCCACACCGATAGACATTATTCAGAAAGAGATAGAAAGAGAGAAGAGGGTCCAGGGAGGAGTAGATCTTGCGAGAACTTCCGGGCAAAACAAAATGGCGACCCCCGTAGTTCGGCTCGATTCGAAAAGTGAAATAGCCATTGCATCTTTGTAGTCGATTAAATTAGCTTACTTTTGTGCTATAACGTAATCTTTTCTTTGCCTTTATCCATTTGATCATCCACATCGATAGAATGTATTCTGAAATTACGAAAAACAGGTCTTGTTTCACACAGGGTGAGAATAGCCTACGGTGGCAAGTCTCACCCGGGGTGAGAGGTCGATCGTATTTCTATTCTCACCCCGGATGAGAATAGCCACTTCCGTGGTCAAACTGCAGTGTAGATCTAAACAATATAGAGTCTAGACTGCCGATCACATGATATTGGCTATTTTCACCCGGTGTGCGTTCACTGTGATAGCCTAGCCCTATGCCAACCAGTGTAGCGTTCACCGTGAACCACAGAATTGTACACTGTGATAACAAGTGTAGAATTCTGTGCCATGAACAAACGTGTAGCAATGACAATGAAAAATTAAATTTTCATCCAAATTGCTTAACCCTTAAGATTCTGGTCCCAGATAAATGTTTGCCCGATAAGCGCAATCCCGCGCGGCGCTCCACAGCTGGTCCCTGATCAGTCGTCGTCCCGCGCGGGCAACGCATTTCATTTAGGGCGGGGTCTGCATCTGTGTGCTAAAATGTGTATGGGTCAGTCTGCTTGTGCCTGTGTGTCCATCTGGAACTTACTGCATTGTTTTGCAACGCGAGGCATTGGTAGAGATAACAGAGCGTCGGTTGAGATGTTAATCCAATGAAATATGAGCATTTTGACCCAGTTAGATACTTGAGGGACTCGAAAGGAATTCAGGAAATAGGACTTTCATCTTTCAATGCAAACACCTTTCCTCACTTTTCAAACGATCTAATTCTTACACCAAACGTTTCCTGATGTAAATAATCATATTTGGTGGTTTTTGAACCATTGTCCTACCAGAGGGAGAAATTTGAGAGCAACTGAATAAAAAAAATATTAGGAAATTATCCCATTTTTTTCCTCTTTCGAACGATAGCTGATAAGCAGCTGTTTGCAAGTTCATTCATAATAGGTGTGAAATCTGGAAAACTCTGGAAAAGTTATTCGATTTGGTGTAACTTCCAATTTCAGCGTCTCTGATCAACCGACGAGGAGATAATGGGATTATTCGTGTGTTCGTAACATTTATTCATTGATTGTATCAGTTTGCTGTAAAAGATGAGGTGTTCCCCTGACCTGCCGCGGCACGCTCGCGTGACCGGTGTCTGACCCCGGCGCCCAGCGGCACAAGCTCGCGGGCGACGTAAGTGGGTCATCGATCGATAAGAGCCATCCCTCTTCCGGTTAACCCCGCAGGACTAGAGTTAAAAATGGACTTAAATGAAAATAGAGTAAATTCTTAGAACTATGGTTTTTAAATTTTAAAAATCCATTGATAAATAGCCCTAAAAAAGTTATTGGATTTTTTGTTTGCAAAATGTTGGAGGACCTTCAGGAAAAAATTTATCGCCAAAATGTGGGACATGTTTTGATGTAAAAGAATCTAGAGGAAAATTGTTCATAAGTCAGTAATGAAATGGAGATATGAATGAAACTTGGTATCTTCATGTGATTTTTAGTGCAGAATCTACAATCTAGATCTAGTTCTGCTATCACTTTATCGATGCCTTTATTACTTTGGATCTTAACCCTCGTAGCGCTTCAGGCGACAAAATTCGCCTCCCCTCTCTCACTCCGCTGAGCGCGCGAGGCGACAATAATCGCCAACGGGCGGGCCAGCTCCCAAGCGCGCGAGGCGACTATTGTCGATTTAGGGGAACACCTTATTTTTGGAGCAAATAGCGTCACCTTTAGATGCTATTATTAGTTCTGTAATGGAAAATTTTACTCTAGA